TGTGCTGAAAGGGTAGATAGGTGCCCTCTGGGTAATTAATCCACAGATGCTGACTCCACCGCAGCACCCATGGGCTGATGTCGTCTCTTACACAACACACACACGTTCATGAGCACGTACACCCACACACACACGCCGTGACCTTTTCTGTACTATCAACAGACACATGTAGGTAACTATATACAATCTGAAAACATGAACACACAAAATACACATCAGTGCACGGCACACAGCATGCAGGCTGAACGACAGCCTCAGGGAGCGCTCCGTTTCTAAATTTGGCACAGATGTGGTCGGATGGGCCGATGATGATGACATCTACCTGTGCTCCAAAAATGGCGGCTCTGAGCAGAAGAGGCACATCTGGTTGTTTGTGCGTGGATGGAAAAGCGGAATAAAGCGAATGCCCTTCTCATAAATAAAGATGACTCTGTTTGGCGGGAAGCGCGCTCGGCTTCGTCGGCTCCATCGCGTCTCACAGACAAACACTTTCTATGTGACGATGTTAACTGTGGCTACACGGAGGAACTAATGACGTAGCTCCAGTACTGCCCTGATCTCTCTGAGCTGGGTCAGAACAGCGCCCGTCACTCCTCTGTTCGCTTTATGATCGATTCCAAACAGACGTCGAGATACGAGGAGAACAGCGTGGATACAATCGTAGTCTGCGTTCACGTCCCAGAGGACGTACACATCAGTCTGTAATCTTTCAAAGCTCACCTCTGGTTTATTAAGGTGGACTGGAGGACAGCAGGCATATTGCACGGTGCAGCCTGACACAGTGGATGCAGTGCCAGTGCCCTTTAAAATCAATACTTGTGCTGAAGCTTTATCTAGGTGGAAAATGTCCGCGGGATTCGGCACAAGCTTCTGCGACTCTTTGTTTCAATTGATTTTAAGGAGTCCCATGCAAGAAGCGAGATGAGCCTGCAGCCGGGAATGGCGTCTGCAGAGATTAACGATGACAGCGGCGTGGCTCAAGCAACAACGTCCTCTTTATGCGCTCATTTACACTATGAAATTAGATTCAATCAAAAGAGGAATCAGGTTTACTGAAATCTACACGGGCCGAAAACGTTTCCTCTCAGATTAAAAGCACAGCAGTAAGATTTGGTGATATGTTCTCACAGCCCGACTCTTTAGAATGACGTGATTTCACAGCACAAACAAGCCACCAGCAGGTGTGTGTGTCTGTGGTGTCCCTGTGGACCACCCACTAGTGACCAGGGTGCACTCTGTTTTTTACTATGGGAACGTAAAAGTGGCAATCCCATTTAAATAAAACATACCAAATTCATTTTAGATTATTATTTTTATCATTTGCATTTCACAACACTGTTGCTGTAACTCCCCCCTCAGCTTCTTAGTGGGCACAAATGCTGCTGGGAATTTAACCCCCCAAAACTCTACTACTCTGAAAATATCATACAATTATTTTCATCGACTTAATAGCTCTGAAATTTACACTTAGTACTTGAAATGCCTGCAATAAAGTCAGTTTTTATTAAAGCTTTGAATTAGCTAAACTTGACCCCCACTAAGACTAATCATACGCACGTTTGCGTCGACGTTTGGTATAAATAAGGCACAAATTTATGATACAAAAATATGAATACACAAATTGAAATCAAAGGGAAAAAAGTAAATACATCTAGTAAACGAGTGATTCAGTACACTAGACTGTGGTCGGCTCAGCTGGTCTCTCGTTCTGCTTCTCAGCTTCGGTATTGTGCAAAATATCTGCAGCGAGAACAGATTTTAGACAGAAGGTACGCTTAAAATAACGGTTCTTAATTAGGATTGAAAAAGATAAGATGTCTCAGCCAACCAACCACCAACAACCAACCAGTTAATTCAAACTTGGCCAGTATGAGAAATGAGTACTATGACATCATGAACTCAGCTCAGACCCCACATTTGACCGGCTCTCACATACAAGTCAAACACCCAGCATCCATTGGCCAAAGTTTAACAGCATCATCAGTACAGGCCACACCCTCGGAGGTTATTGGCTATAATGACGTCAGTGACGGCGTCAAAGACGAACTGGATGTTGTTGGTGTCCGTAGCACAGGTCACGTGGGAGTACACTTCTTTCTTGGGTGACTTGTTCTTGCTCTCATATTGAGACTTGATGTATCCCAGTCCCTCTGTGTAAGTATTTAGACCTGAGGAGACACACACACACACACACACACACACACACACACACACACACACACACACAGAGTTAGAAAAAGCCCCCCAGTTCAATTCACTTTTATTTACACAGCGCCAACAGTCGCCTCAAGGTGCTTCATCCTGTAAGGTCGACCTACAATAACACATACAGAGAAAAACCCAACAATCATATGACCCCCTATGAGCAGCACTTTGGCGACAGTGGGGAGGAAAAACTCCCTTTTAACAGGAAGAAACCTCCAACAGAACCAGGCTCAGGGAGGGGCGGGGCCATCTGCTGTGATTGGTTTTGATCTGAACCTTTGTATCCGTGTGCTCCCCTCCATGTTTTCTGAAAACATCTCCTTTGACTCTCAGCACACATTCGGCTGAGGCGTGCTCTGTCGGCTGTTGAGCCAAGCTTCAATAAAAATGATGCACGGGCCGCGTTCTCAGACGAGGTGATTTCAGACAGATAGATGATACGTGATGGAAGCTAATATGTCCTGTTATTGCTGGCGCAGACTGCAACTTCCTGAACATTATTAATGTGTTACAGACTTCAGAATGTGACAGATACGAGGCCCTGAAGCTAAAAATAACGGAGCCGTTATTCGTACCGTGCATTGATCAATTTACCAGCACTGGCAAATCCACTGTGCAGCCTTTTAGCTCAACAGCATTATCAACTGTTGTGCCTTTACGCAAGCATTTGGCAGGTAATGCAGCTTAAATTGGTACAGTGCTTTTAGAATGAGTCAGATCTCACTGATTGGAGCAAATGTTGTTCCAAGTGTCGCTAACATCTATCTGGCTCTCAGCCATTAGCAGCACTGTGGTTCGTCTGTCTGCTTCGGTGGCAACTTCATCAGAACAGGCACAAAGTCTGCAGAGGGGTGAAGAGAGGAGGAGAAGGGGCCGAAAACAAGATTGGAATTCTAATTCTCGCTTTCTCACAGTCCCGCTGGCTCGGCCTCTTGCGTTCCCACCATCTTGCTTTGCCTGTGTTGTTATAAATTTCTCACACTCTTGCTCTCTCCGTCTCTGGCATTGCCCCCCCCCTCCCCGCCTCACATGTTGTCTTGTCTCTTGTTTCCTCTCTCACTGGAGCTCCTCTCGTGCTCCCACTAACACCCCAGCTTTTATTCCCTGTGAGTCTCTTTGTCTGTATTCAACGTTATGTTCGACTTTCATACTTTCTTAGAAATCAGCACAATTGTGACTTCAAAACTGAGAGCTACATATATGAATGGCCAGGTCTGATTCATTTCACTGTATTTTTGCTCTGCGTGAAATCTCGACATGCTTGTTTTTAATGAAAGAGTAACTTCAGCGAATGACAGCTTAAATCATCAACCACATCACCAGCTCTAATATAGGTGCAGCTGGACTGTGGTGACAAAAGAATGGACTTTTACACCATAATGCAGTTATGAAAGGGAAGTCACTTTTAGTCTGAGCAGCTAATGCTCGCAGCTGTCCACAGATCTCAGGCTCGTTTCAATAAACAGCTGGAGCAGCTGAAGAAGTTTGCCAACGTTTCTGCTCGATTGCTGCTTCGCCTAATTACAAATACGGGTGTGTGTGCGATACTTAATAGCAGCATCTGGTGCTGACAGTTTGAATGTGAAAGTGATTCACCCACAGTTTAAAAAAATAAATGGACAACAAACCTTTTCCCCTGGTCCTGATCGACACAACTATCAAACCCTGGAGGCAGAAATACTGTAGCCAGACTGTATTAACAGACCTCTCTGCACTGAATCATATCTGTTATTAACCTCTGTCTCTCTTCCACAGCATGTCTTTATCCTGTCTTCCTTCTCTCTCCCAACCAATCACAGCAGATGGCCCCGCCCCTCCCTGAGCCTGGTTCTGCCGGAGGTTTCTTCCTGTTAAAAGGGAGTTTTTCCTTCCCACTGTCACCAAAGTGCTGCTCATAGGGGGTCATATGATTGTTGGGTTTTTCTCTGTATGTATTATTGTAGGGTCGACCTTACAGTATAAAGCGCCTTAAGGTGACTGTTGCTGTGATTTGGCGCTGTGTAAATAAAGTTGAATAGTAAACATATTTTTCCATTCCAGTGTTGACGAATGCTGTAAAGAGCCACCAAGCAACATCTAGCTGGGAACTAATGCTTCTTAAAGCCTGCAGCTCTGATGTCAAGCAGGAACACTGCTGTAGCTGCTGATGTAGTTATCTGAATGCGTACTGCATTTGTAGTATTGACTGTACCTGGCAGTGTAACCTGTGGCCTAAGCAGGAGAGGGCAGATTATGACTGAGGCCAGGCTCCACTCTTACAAGTGTGTACTGTCAATATATAGAAAGCACCATATAAAGAGTTCAAATATCGCCACATATTTGATATCTGACCTCCTTTAAAGTCGAGAGATTGATCCGAAGGTCAAAGTTTAGCTATTTAAAACATTGTTTCCTGCTGTGTAAGCAATGATGTAACCTCTGACCTTTTCTTCAAGGTCAAATTTCCATAAAATGTGTCTCATCTTTGAACCTTTTGTTTGTATCGTAACATTTAGGGAATGATGTCGGCATATGGATTTTCTAAATATCACGTTATAGTTTGCGTTCAAATATCTCGTCACCTTTGACCTCTGATCTCACTGTTCCACTTCACAGCTGCCTTTCCTTTACTGCACTGCAAACTTTTTAAACAAAAATAAAATGAATACATAGAAAAGAACGATTCCCTTAAAAGTAAATCCTCGGTGCAGGTTTGGACTCTGGGAGGGGTTCTAGTTCTCGTTTTAGAACCCACGTTTGGCTTTTCTTAACATAAGTACACTTCATGAGATGTCACAGTGCAGGGTTGTATGTACCAGTGTACTCAGGGAAGCAGATGGACAGCGGTGACTTGCTGATCTTGCTTTCAAAGAGGTCCTTCTTGTTCAGGAAGAGGATGATGGAGGTTTCCTGAAACCACTTGTTGTTACAGATGGAATCGAACAGCTTGAGAGACTCGTGCATGCGGTTCTGCAGGAGAGACATTAGCACGAGTTAACGGGGCTGTTAAACCTCTAACCACTAACACACTGTAAAAGCACATAACGGAAACGCGGGCATATAGTATTCACCTACATGCATACACAAAGCGAAATTAAGGACACCCATATCACATGCACACAATCTTAACACAAAGAGGAATTAAAATTGAATCTAAGAACAGAAGTCCTGGAAGTTCCTCTTGGAAAGTGACACGTATATCTGGGTATGTGTATTTGTATCAGCGTATCAGTAATCAACATTATTAGTAATCTAAATAGCAAAGCCATGCTCTTTTAGCCAGTTAGCTTCTATTACACTGAGCAACTAAGCACAAGCACCCACTCTGGGCCCTGCAGAGTGAGGCTTTCAGGAGGAGGAGGTGACTGCACGGGCTGGCAGCATGTATTTGAGGAAAAAGCTGCAGTGACAGTTTGTGGAGGTAATGAAGTGTAAAGGCAGAGAGGAGAAGGAAGAGGAGGCTCAAGTTATTACTGCACTTTGAAACTAAAAGCTTTGCAAGTGTTTTCTGACTATATTTATCTTCTCGGCCAAACAGGAACAATGCATGTGCTTCATAAATGAATAATTAGTATCCACTGTTTGGTTGGCTACTAAAATAAGTAGAAGATGAAACAAAACTGAGGCCTGGATTATTTGTTCATAACAAACCCGTTCATGCTACAGTGAAATTGATTCAGAGACAGAGTTGAAAGCAGTTTCTCTCCAGTTTGATTTCTTTCCTGCTTAGATCAGGACAGGGGAGCAAAAGCAGCTGATTGGATTAGGGAAAAACAGATCTATAGAAAATTAGGAAATTAAGAAGAGCTTTAAAAAGTTACCAGGAAGAAAGAGAGAGGAGAAAGCCAGACAACATTTTTGGATTGAGCGGCTCACAGACACAAAGAGGCGCTGCTTTCAACTCTCAGAGTGTGCGTACACCTATCGGGGTGGTTTCATACCTGTCTGTGGGTGGAGCTTCTGTAGAAGATCTGACTGCTGATTGGTTAGAGAAGACAGTCGATGGCAACAGTGACAGGAGGAGTGGAAGTAGCCAGAGATGCTGCAGGGCGGAGCTTAGAGCAGGAACAGAAAATGCAAGGGACCCCGTCGCCCCAACCCAAGTCCCACTTCCTTTTTAACCCCCCGTCCTCTATCCCACATACACACACATGCATCCCAAGTGCTAAAAGGAAAGTGTTTAGGCAGGAAGACAGTATCCACATACAGCAGTCGTGTCGTCAAAGGGTGGGGGGATACGCCTGTGTTCGTTAGAGCGCTCCAACAGAAATGAGGAGGTGACACAGAAAAAACACAATGCCAGAGCTGCTGGAGTAGACGCAATAGAACAACAAAGCAACAGCACTGAGTGTAGCGTGAGCCGTGTCGATGTCTCTCTAACACACTGATGCTTTTTAAAAGGTCAGAAAGCCGGCGAGCGGCTCTTTCAGCTCTTCTCTGTTCTCCGAAACAGCCCACGAATAAATCTCGGCTATAAGAAGTTTTCCTGTTCTACCAATGGCAGCATATCTGCAAGTGCTGAAAGGCTTTAAGAAACATTCACTCAAGCAGTATCTTTGAAGCTGTAACTCACACGTGTCATCTCTTGTTTAAACAGAAGTGTTATAAATGTCATGTGTGTGGGTGATTATGGGATGTATAATGTCAAGGACTTCATAACAGTGAAATGTGAATGAACCTATTTTGTTTTTTGCCACCATTATTTATTAATACATAATAATAATAATACTGATAATAACAACACATTGATATAATGTAACAGTTTCTTCCCAAAAGCCACCCTGAGCTCACACGTGACGACACAGCTCCACCCCCCAATCCAAGGACTTCCCTCTGTACATAAACTACCGTCAATACTGTGCAATAACCCACACTGTAAATATATAACACTTTTATTTGTATATTTGCACACTAACTGTGGATCTCACTGTACATGTGTATAGTGACATTAAAAGACTGAGTCGTGTGACTTTGGCGATCTCTAGTATTCTGGGAGTTCTTGGGAAAACTATTTCAAACGTCATTAAACACAGTTAAATGCAGGCACGGAGCATGTCGTCATGCAGCATGAAACAGCCTTCGAACCAAGTCAGCAGACAGAGCAGTGAGGGCTGCAGACGCACGATCTCGGTCTGATAGGGAAAAGAAAAATCTCCCGTCCAGCAAGGATCAGTATAATGGGAAATATTGCCATGCTAATTAAATCCACAGCCTATCAGCGACTTTGATGAACTGCCCAGAAGGGATATGCAGTATGTATCACTCCCATTACTGCCGGGTCGGGGGGGGGGTATCTTTACCATTCGACTGTGTAACATCCTCACTGTGCGCATATGGACGCATCTGCTAGTAAAACTGGCAGAGGATGCAGCAGCTCGTTGAAAACTGTTTGGTTCAACAATATTAGTGTTGATTTGAGAATTACGTCAGTCAGATTGCAAAAACAAAAACACTCCAGCTCGTGTTGTCTGAACATATGAGCGTGTTTACTGCTGGATGCCTGGATCTGTCTTGTTGTGTCTTGGGATTTTCAGCTGTCACATCACGTCTCTCGTTCATGACCTTAGCAATACTGTAAATTTCTGTCAAGCGATCATTAAGTACGACACTTTTGATTGAAACTCCTGTGGCACTGGTGCAGAGGTAACAGAGGCAGCCTTTCACGCTCTTTCACGGTTTCTACGTCAACAAATCAGAATCACTAGCTCGTCGTTGAAAAAGGTCCAGGCTGTTTCTTTCGGTGGGATTTTGCTTCTTCCACACAGGTTTGTAAAGACAAATGCACGACTGTGAAACAGCAAGCTCAAAGCTACGCCTGTTTACAACTGCACCGCTATTTATATGGAGGCACAGAAACAACAGATTTTAAATGCAAGCGGCAAAAACAGGACGAAGCTATTTGTGAGCACATTTTGTGGTGGATATTTCCTCTCCTCCAGCGCCCGTCTTCTGGTGCTCCCAGCTCAGAGGGAAGCTTGATGACAGCTGCATAAATAGATGAGCACCTGAACACATTTCGACTTCCTGGAATTCTCCCAGGATTCACTCTATGCTTATAAATAGCAGCGAGTGCTGTGCATTCAAATCAGCTTATTTGTTTTAGGTTACGCGATATAATCGTTAGGGATCCTCTGTGGTTAATGTCACCGCTTCTTTCTTCTCTGCAGTGACGACACTTCACCCGTCCCGGACTCTACAGCCGCCGTGTTGAATCATGTGGAACATTCGCTGTGTCCAAGTTAGAAATTTGTTTATTGTGCGTTGCAGGGAAGAATAATTTGCATGGAGAAAAATAACTCGCATGTACCTTTGCATTCAGTTACAACCTTTGTTAAACAAAAAGTCTGAAAACTATTTTCCGTGGGGACTTCAGCGTCCTCACGTATTCTGCAGCAGGAAGTGAGTAAAAGCCCAGAGGATAATTCCACAGAAGTTCACTGTGTAGCACGACGTGTGGTTTACCACAGAGTCAGTCTGTGGGTCCTAATGGGACTGCATTAGGTATTTATATATAACCCTTTCAGATGTGCACGGCTTGATTTCTTCAGACATTTCTCTCCAGCCCTGTCACAAGCTTTGTGTCCGCTTACATGTGACAAACATAGATCTATCTTTACACTGGCTGCTTGTCGTGTGTGCCGTGACCTTTGTTTTCCTAAATCCAGAATGCATAAACGTGGGACGGATTCACTGGAGAGAGAGAGCACAGCTGTGAACACGTGTCCTTACCGTGGTCTCGTCCTCATGCAGCACCTGGTCATATCCGCTGAGCGCCACACAGAAAATAATGGCTGTGACATCCTCAAAACAATGAATCCACTTCTTCCTCTCTGACCTTTGACCTCCCACATCAAACAGCCTGATGGACACAAGAGACAAACACGGGAAACAAGATCAGATTTTTTAACACAAACATAATTGAAATCGTCAATTATTACATTTGTACAAAATAGAAATAATAAATTAAATTCAGTCAAGTCAAATTAGAAAGTGATTCAATTTGAAGCTCATTTCGAAGCCTGATTCAATTTGAGAACGACTTCTTAGCAGACGTCCAAACTGACGGAGATCCGGGGAGTAAAGCAGCTTTCAGTCCGTGGGTATAACACAGTCCTAATAACAGGTTTACGTCCACACAGAAGGACTCTGGCCTCGCTCCTGGACCTGAAGGTGCTCTGAGGATGTCTGATATTAACAGCTTCCCGAGCGCCGTCACAAAGATCTTCTTGGATTTCCTTCTTTTCTCCTCAGAATCTGATTTTTGAAACAGTTTGTGGTTTAAAGAAACACAGAAACAGTTTTTATGCTGACATCATTTCCTTATACTGTTATCACCGATGATGATCTGACATGTGACTTTCACTTATTTACGCTCTTCAGATAAACAAAGGAGCTCTTATATTTGCTGTCAGAAGGTTGCTATTAGGATTTCCTCTGCATGAGCGAGGACAGTGCCTCTGCGTATGCACACTGTACCTGCTGACTGCGGCGTGTACAGATCAGGGTGTTAGCCTGACGCTAAATCCTATCAGGGTTTTATCACAGTGAGAGAAATGGAGCTTCAGAGTATCTGGATTTGTTTCTCCCGTCTCTCCTCTGCAGCGACAGTTTACCACAGACACGTGGCAATTTCTGACGTCAGGTTTGATTTTCTGAGGACTGCACTAAAGCTGAAACTGTTGAGGTAGCTCAACATCTGTCACAAGTATACAAAAACACACACTAACCAAAAAACAGGAGTGTGCTGCACTGAAAGTAAGTCAGCTGATGTTGCAAATGACCAGATTCAGATGTGCAATTTTAGAAAAGAACATAACAACCACCCTAAAGGACTTAATCCACAGTGAGATGAAGTCAGTCAAGTCTGTGATGGGTATAATGGTAGGTAGGTTCATGGGTTACACCCAGGAGAGGAACACTGTAGCCTCCCACACACTGCCTGACTGCTAGTAATAGCAACTGAGCTGACAATATTTAGGCTTCTTCAACAAAGCACACCCAGCACAACTCCTACACAACGGTGAGAGTGACAGCAGAACGAACTGCACAATATAACCCAAGCAAAAGAAGGAGGAAAAGCAAAACAAGCATTAGCTGCCAAACGTGATGTGCATCCATCCAGAAAAATAATTGGTGTCTATGCTACACGTATTAACCCCTCTGCTGTCTTCAGTTAGGACATGAATGTGTGCTTATACCTGCACACATCCACAGAAGTAGGGCGGAAAATGAGCGATTAGATTAGACGCCAGAACAGGACTCGCCCCTTCTCTTTCCCATAATGCCTCTCCTCTCTGTCATCATTCCCACGGCTCCTTGTTCTAATTGAATCAGAGCTCATTTAAAAGGAAGGGAATCATAAATATAGACACTTGTTTAAAGCATTTAATCTCATTAATTACAGGCTGGAGTTCCTACTGTACGCTTGGCTAGAGGAGCAGTAAGAGGCACCGCTGAGAGTGAAGCACCGAGCGCACACATCGGGGCAGCAGTCGCTTTGGATACTGACCTGAAATGAAGGTTTTTGAAGGTAAAGTGTGTCTCGACGATGCCTGTGGTCTTCACTCGGGTCCTCAGGATGTCCTGCTCTGTGGGCTGGTAGTCCGCCGCACCAATTCGATCTAGGCTGTCTAGATAGCTGCACACAGACACACAAAACTCAGAATCTGACACAACAACTGTTTGTGTACCCATACAACAACTGCAGGAAAATACCACGTGTAAATGAGGTCCAAAAACATCAGCGAGCCATTGTTCTCACAAATTTCCCTGAAGTGTCCTTTACATCCACCAGGAGCTCATGTAAGTGGCTCAATGTTGATGACTGCATTGACAGAGATGTGAATGGATTTGTGGTGCTATGGCCTACTTTCAATTTAAGTGTGAATTTGTGTTGCATAATGAGCACAATCTGACACCCACCCACCCACCCGCCACTGTAGATCTGCAAATATCTGAGCTAATTCCAGGTGCTTCTGTTCTTTCCCTGCTCCTTCTATGGGAAGTGAGCCTCAAATCAGCACTGTAGCAACAGCAATGTGTCACATGGTTCAATATCTCATTGTAGAAATCTATTTTAGTGGCTCAGAAATGTTGATTAAATTTTGGTTTACTGGATAACAGCAAACTTCTCGCTGCTACACATTAGAAGAATAACGTCTGTCTGAAATACAAAGTTACCACATGGAGCAGCCACTTGGTAACAAGTGAGGAAGGGGAATGGGAGGATTCACTTATGTAACGGAATATCCCTGGAAGAGGGCCTTTATTTTTTAATGTGCACGTATAAATCAAATAATCGTGAACAGCAGAATCCAGAGAATCGTTCTCTCAGTCACTCGAGCTCTCACACTATCTACTGTAGCACACAGCTAAGGGCGACAGAAGGAAGAGCTACAGTTATGTTAGAGTCACTTTGTGATTGTTAGGCTTGCCTTCCTCTTTAACACCTGAATACTGCTCTGGTTCCAGCTAATGTGCACCTTGGAAGGTTTAATCCCTCATTTTTTCCTTTCTTGTTTATTCCCTTCTTTAAATTAAGGTCAATCTCACCATCGGGGCGAAGGACACAGACAGTAAGTAACATTTACAAAGGTTATAAAAGTGTTCATGAAGCACCTTCCATAGACGAGTGGTCACAAAGTGCTGGACACAAATAAAGTAAAATAAATAAGAAAATTAAAAGCCATAAACAAGATGCATAATAAATTAAAATCAGTAAAAGTATCAACTGAAAACCAAGTTTAAAGTCCACAGAGTCATCTGAATGTAACTGTAATAGGTGACTAGCCCAAAGCCTTGGTGCCACAGATGCATATCTTTAATCTAGAAACTGTTCAAAGTGTTGTTTCAGAGCCGTTAGGAGGATCATTAGTTACTTTTAAAAGACAAAAGCTAGAGAGATGACGAGAAAAAGAAATGGATGGTACACTGTCACAGCTTCAGCGATAAGAACAACTGATTACAGAGAAAGGAATCTGAATTATATTGTGATTAAAATGTGAAAGCTGTAAGGAGGACACAAGAAGACTGGATATTTTTATCCTGAGCAAAGATGAAAGTGTGAACAGCTGAGCCTCGATTTATTTCTGAAACTGAAAACAAACAAGCACCACATCCTGAAGATGTGCGCACCATGTTTCTACACAGCATCCGTTGACTGGATTAGTGACTTGGTGTTAAAGCATGTTTCAATTCACAAAATGAAAGGATGCTAATTAGATTACAAGGCAGTCAGTCAAACAAACCAGAGCACTTCATTACAAAGCAATCCAAAGCAGATCAATTATGCTGAGTGGTTCATGCAATTTGTGTGAACCACTCGGTATTTCAAACTGAAAAGTCACAAACATTTTGCAAAGAAACAGCAGATTTCCAAAACCTAGCACGTGGGAAATGTAAATAATGAGCCCAAAGAACTGCGAGGAGCTTAGAAGGTTTACTAAGAAAGAAGGGTTAGGGTTAGGGTTAGGTTATTTGCCATTCGTGACCTTCAGGAGGTCTGACCCTCTCTAACAAGAACACGTCCGCTCCTCCTGTTGGTTGTTTCCATTCTGCTGTTAGGCTTCACAGAAACACCTTTTCACACGAACTCACACTAACACAAATGCCATTATATAATGTGCAGAGCTGCAGTCCCACAAAGGTCTCAAACACACAGTAATGTCAACTACATATCACCTTCGGACAGGCAGATGACTTTTTGTAACCTGTGTTAGGCTGTTTTTAGCGGACATACTTCTTGGTACGCTAGGTCAATGAACACCGACCTCAGGAGTACATACAACATTATGGCTTATCACTAAAAGAATGCTTGACCAAAAGCAACTTTCAACAGACTTGATGCTGATCTGCCACGTCATTGGGCTTTGGCTACTAACTAATGTGTAGCTGAGTAGCTAGCTAATCTAGCAAACCAGACATGATAAGCCCAGCAGATGTTTGTAGGCGTAGCTTCTATAGAGTTATATTTTACTAAGGGGGGAAATACAGGGTCACTGTTTATTAAATTTCCAGTAAAGTGTTTAATAATTACAACAGTGGTTAACTTAATTAGTGCTGTGCCAAGGAACAATGATCTCTGACACGGTCAGACTGATCGCTAACTGCTAACTGCTCGGCAATCAAGCTGATTTCTACTTTATGTTCCCGTCCAGGCTGGAAAACTACACTGTAAAAAAAAATCCTAAAAAAACAGTAATTTTCCGGCAGCTGGGGCACCAAAATAATACGATAAAATCACAGAAAATAACTTTCCCATGAAAATACGGTTATTTTCAGTAATGACAATACAGTTTGTTGCCCTAATTTTACATGGGATTTTGCCTTTTTCAAGTGCTTTTAAACATTAAATTAGGAAGAATTTTATGTGATTAAACAATGAAATTACCTATAAAAAAGGTCAATGAATGCAGCACTATGAATAATAATACTTAAATGTACAGAAATATACAGTTAACAGTCGGTCAGTGCATTTAAAACTCAGGAGAGCATGGTACTAGCTTCCTCTCAGAGAGCAGCACGGCTCTTCCCGAAAACCCTTAGTGTCTAAATGCATTTAAAATTGAGGGTAGGGCACCAGCGCCAGAGGTGGTTTGGAGTACACCGCGATTTTTTGTTTTTATGGGCCGATGGATCTTTTTTTTTTTTTTTTATATTATATAGGGTATATATAATGAAAGGTGTTGGATTGGCCAATTGGTCATGATTGACTCTGGGCTGGACCAATTACAGCTGAGGAGGCTGGATGCACCCTCCCCCTTGTTTAGCAATCACGTGATTTTTGCGCATTGCATGCTGGGAACTCGTGGCAAAACAATCCAAGTACCGCATCAAATGCAAGCATTTGCAGCACCGCAAAACGTTCATTCTCCGGTTCCAATACCTTCTTGTTTTTTCTTTGCCGCAAAAAAAGGAATGTACAAAACAAAAGGAGAACAATGCCGGTCCGTACAAAGACAGACTCGACGAAAAGACAAAGAAAAGATACGAGGAAAAAATCAAAGGAGTGAAAGGGTCAGACCCTTACGAGCACACAGAGTGGACAAAAGACGTTAGCGTGCTGCCCAACTTTCACCACGCTCATATTTATAATCATACGGTTCTTGGAGTGAGTGCATACACTCATGAAGTTTAGTAACTTCAGGTCACTGCAACAAGCCCAGGTACAGTTTACCGACGGATGGGTGCAGGACCTTGAAATGCACCGTGTAGAACGAAAGACCATCGTACGAACAAAGGTAAGTTTACCAGTCTCACAAATCGTCGTCATAAACACACATTCCTTAACAGTTTATTAATAGGACCTTTGAGCTCAACGGTAATTAATTAGTAGTAGAAATAATTTCTGGTTCATTACAGAAATGTAGCAGTGACAATAATACTGTATGCTGTAATCGTACTGGGCAATTAGTGATACAAAACAACTGTTTTATCCTGTGAATAAAAGTATATGTTTTTGTCAATGTACCATAATAACAGAAGCGAAACGCAATATTGTGTCAGGACAATTCACTATTTATGCACAATAAACAAAGGAGCATAGCGCGACCATTTCTGTTCAGCGCCAGACTTGCTTGTAACCTATATCACTAATTATGTTAAGAAAAATGACGCATTAACTACTACAAAACTCTGACCTTTGTGGGAATGCTTGGAGCAGACTAACATGTGAGCTGGAGTGTTCTGGGACGTTATATTTGGTATATCCAGACCATCCGTCGGCTCTTACTTCGGAAACATGGCTTAAAAAATTTCTCTTCAACAACGTAATCCGATAAAAAAAAAAACAAACACTCTCTTTACCCGTCGGCTTCCCGTGGCTGTCATGCGACCGGCTATTGCAGTTAATAATACAACAGCTTCTTGACATTTTTTGGGTTTCTTTTTATCGCTGTGTAACTGAGTTCAATTGAAAGCCTGCGTGCGCTACTACCTCTTGCCACGAGTTCCCAGAATCCTTTGCGGTTTTACCCCTGAATGAAGTCACATTTTCAATCTTTATCCTGGTGGGCCAAAATGCCCGGGCCGATTTTTTGTCCAGTCCAGCCTTGATTTTAACAATCTAAATATGTACAGATAGATACATTTAACAAACAAGAAAATTAAGTTTTATTACATTTACAGTGATTTTACGTTAATTTACATTTGAAATGTAATATCACAGTCTATTTATGTAAATTTAATGATATTCTAGAAGAACAGTACAAAACTGTAAAATACACAGTAAAATACTTTTGTATCACGAATTTTTTTTACAGTGTAGGTAATATGGATAATGGACAAGATTTCCAGCTGTGCTTGATATTCCCCACTGGTTATGATTTGATGTGTATTCTACAGCTAAACATTTTATTCTGATATATACCTTATCTGTTTCTGAAAATGGCAAGAATCCAATCACGGTTCTTAAGTAAAATGGGATTTCAATAATTATCTCTTTCATGTTTGCTGTCATTCCAAATGTGATTAAAGTTGGGAAAACTCTAAACTGGGCTAGTTATGTCCATGAAAATGGACGAATAAACCTCTGTGAGTACAACAGCCCGCAGTATTGTTAACAAAGCTATAACACTGAACACTAATTAACTAAAACCGCCGTAAAGTGCCATGGAAGAGCTGCATTTCTAAATTGTTTTTGGAGTAATAGCCAACCACAATAACAGGAAACCGACCCGACAGGGACATCTTACACAGAGAGTACGAGAGAGCCAGATATATGGAGTACAGCTGTATCGATCCCCTGCTGTATAAACTCAAGTGCAGTGACTCTACGTGAGCCATTTACTAGTGCAGTGGCTCACTACAGAAACACAATCCATCAAGTGAGAGCCATAAGCAGCCTGTCAGCTCTATACTTACGGTAACACAAAAAGCTTGTCATGTTTACATTAAAGCAACGATTTATTGTATAAACATCACAATACATACAGTACACCCATATACTCTATCTTCAAGTTTAAACTAAATAAAATTTGTTATTACCATTGTAACAGTGACACAGAATTTACTATCTCCATGCAGCATTATGTTTTTTTATGGCAAGAGAGGGGTTGGCTTAACCGTCTTAACCCATAGCTGTTGCTAAGGAACCAGCCTTTAGTTGGTTAGATGCGTCCCCTACTGCGATGTCCTGACACATATTTAAAACCAGCACTTTTCTACAGAAGCAGCAGCTACGTGATGCAAACCCATGAAAGCTAGCCACAACATAAAAGTGCTCTGAGTCAACAGAGGAAAAATCCCTGTCATTACTTAGCACGAATGAGAAGAAGACCAGGAAATCACACACACACACACACACACACACACACACACACACACACACACACACACACACACACACACACACACACACACACACACACACACACACACACACACTCGCACACACACACACACACACACACACACACACACACACACACACACACACACACACACACACACACACACACACACACACACACTCGCACACACACGCGCTGCAGTGGACAAACCAGCATCACTGTGTATAGCAGTGATCTAATAAATGATCAACATGGCTAAAGCAGCTTTGCATTATGACCCAATAACATGTACAGCGAGTCTAAATAGTCAAATGTAATGCAAGCTGTAGAATCAATATATTGAGCACAAAACAGAGACTGTGACATTTAACTGTAACGTTTATCCAACATCGATGACGGAGTGTTTGTAATAGCTGTGCATTATGCACGAGCTCTGTATTCAAGTCTTTTTAGCCTGATGAACTCAGCCAATACTTACAGCATCCATTTAATAGGGGTGCAACGATATTCGTATCGATATTGAACCGTTCGATACAGAGCTTTCGGTTCGGTACGCATATGTATCGAACAATACAAAATTTGTAATTTATTTTATCAACTTTCCTTCTGATGATGCTGTCTGTGTTGAGCGCTCAGTGAATCTGCGTTCGACTACTCCGCCTAGGCTCGACAGTGCAGCCTAGGCGGAGTAGTCGAACGCAGATTCACTGAGCGCTCCACACAGACAGCATCGTCAGAAGGAAGAGCGCAGGGCAAGCTAGCGAGACAGAAGTTAAGCTCTCCTTGCAACATGGCAAACTGAACCTCCCCCACCCTCATTCAGATCTGGCGTTTGGAATTATTTTGGTTTTCATGTGACGTATGACCCTGAAGGTAAGCGAGTCATGGACAAAGTAAAACAGTATGTTGGATGTGCCACGCAATGCTCAATTACATGGGTGTGAACTAGTGTGTTAGCGCAGTTAGCTCGTTAACGTGTTGGCCGTCTAGCCCCACGCACGGGGCTATCAGGGGTAGCTCGTTAACGGAGATTTGCCGTGTTGTGGCGTTAACGTCATTTCAACGAGATTAACCTGAAAGCACTAGTGGGAACACAACGAATATGACTGCACATTTACGCCGACGACATCCTAGTGCAAAGACAAAAACAACAAGCATGCTACTAACTTTAGCCGAGTCATTTAGACAGCTGTTAGCACATGATTCTCCTTATGCTGCTGAGATTATAGCCCAGAAGAAGCGGATAGTATAGCTTTTATTTTGGAAAGAGACATTTCTCTGTAATAAACTCTCTTTTCCAAAGATGAGTGATTCCTCAATCAGATACAGGGCTCGCAAAATCGCTAGCCCGACGTCCTGGGGCTAGCAATTTTTTCAGTCGGCTACCAAAATCTATCTCTGCCCTGCCCGTCGGGCTATTGTAGGAAAAATATATGTCAATGCTTTTGCATTCTTTTGGAACTGTAGCTGGGTAATTATGTCATTGGCATCGGTGAGCCACTGTCAATATGTGACATATTGAAGTCGCGTTTGAATTTGTGCTTGTTTTTTGCTTTCACTTTGCAATCGTGCGAACTGTGTATAGAGAGCGACAGCACTGATCTGTGAGTGATGATAATTTGTGCACCAATTCCTCTGACATCGTCTTATTAATCGTTAGCTTACTATGCAAACATGACAAGTAAAATCTCCCGCGGCTTAAACATGTGAGAGGTTGATCGCGCAGAGAATCGCTGAGCTTATGTGAGTCCGTGTGTAAAAGCAGCAGGATATATATTTTAGTTCTGCTGAGCCAAATAAGACCGGTCAGGGTGAAGAAGTGACAGCCAAAGAAAAGCTTACCACAAAACGGAGAAGTTATGACAAATCAGACTATAAGGCAAAAAGAAAGTGCAGCTTTATGGTTTCATGGACAAAAGAATTTCTGTGGCTGCGATATGACGAGCTAAATAACCAGGGCTGCACATAAGTGGTCCGCAGGTGCGCATTCGCTGTCAAAATAAAAAACACGCACAAGGGTTAGGGTTAAATTTAAAAACTGTACTTTTGAGTTAAAATCTATATTTATAATTTTAATAAATGACAAATTAAAAAGGCATGAACATTTTTTTTGTATCGAAAAAAAATCGAACCGTGACACCAAAGTATCGAACCGAACCGAACCGTGAATTTTGTGTATGGGTGGGTTTTCAATAAAGACACACACACACACAGGTTGAACCTAGTGTGGTCTGATCATGTGATATGTGTCCTATCAGTTCATAGGCTGGTGGCAGAGTGCATCAATCTTTAACGTGACATTTAGCACAGACAAACTACACACACACACACACACACACACACACACACACACACACACACACACACACACAGTGGATGTTACTTAAGTTACTGATTACATGTAAATGCTGATAGGAGTATGTTTGTAATCCTTCAAAGGATCCTTCACTTTGCCTCCTCCATTTCTCTCGCTCTCTCGCCATGCCTTGTGCCCTTCATGTGACCTTTTATTACCTTTTCTCTCGCAGCCTGTATCTTTAAATGATAACATCCATGTAACTTTCACTGAGTCCTCTGCCACGATCTTTTTTTTTTATGTCGTGCTGTAATTTTACTGGATGTAAGAAGCACAATTAAACGACAAACACGGCACTTGAGGGAAATGACTGCTTCTTCTTCCTCTCTACCCCACCCACTCGCTCTCTCTCTCTTCCTACCTACACATGCACTCAGCATAAGATAGACCCAGTAATGGCGATTGACTGTAATAGGCGGGGTATGATTGCATGAATAAACAGTAGTGTGTATGTGTTTAAGTTCACGTGTTGTGTTTAAAGCGGTGTAGCAGCTACTAATAACTCATGTATTCATCTGGTCTCAGTAAATCAGGGATCTGCTGACGCAAACACAAAGACAAATATATTTGCTGTGATGATTTGGTGCATCTGTGGGTATCACTACAAACACTTTGTGTCTACAGCCACCAAAGGGATGGGAATCATGCTTAAACTCAGGGTTCCCCCTACTGAGCCGACAGTCTTATCAAACGGGATTTCTAGTTTTTTCCTCGAAATTCACAAAATGCTAAAGTTTACTGTCTGTTGCTTAAAGTTTGAAGCGATTTGCTTTAGTCCAAAGTTACGCAGCAACTTGTGTTCAGCGGTCAACTGCAGGCAGCACGCTTCTCAGGTTGTTAACCATGCAAGCTAGCTATAAGCTATTAGCATTAGCCGGAAACGTCCCAGGTGCTGAGGTTTTGCAGACAGTTGACGGCAACATTAACTTGTCGGCCGTGTTGGTTGTGTTTGTAATCCTTCAAAGATGTCTGTAATTAAATAAAGATGTCAATGTAAGATGAAGCAAACGAGGTCCAAGTCGCACTGACCTACAGACCACACAGTTCCCCAACCAGTTGGCAAAACCTCCCTGTGATTGCTTTGGCTGCTAGCACACTGCTAACTTTTTCATTAAGCTAACTTTTGGATCAGATTTAGGTTTTTATTTTTGTTATAATGGATTCAGTACTGATATTGATAATGTTTACAGCCTCACAACAAAAACACGCAGAAATAAGCACATGGACGTACTACTGCGCTGAATCGTTGAGCTGGTACTCTCGTGCGCGACTGAAGCACTCCTGGATGCCCGAGTCAGACCACAGACGCATCATGGCGGAGAGCAGCTCAGCAGAGTAAGGCTCCGTGTCCTCCATACGACTGACCACATCGCACACCATCTTAGCATCCGCCTGAAAGAAAACACAGCAGGGAGGCAGCTCCAGGTTAGCGCTGTCAGTGGAGTGAAGAGGCTGTGGCATTACAAGAGCATCATACTGATTATGAGACGCTGGAGTACAACAGTGTAGCACTGTGTAAACAATGTAATCAAACCATCTTTGTGAGAAATATTTAGAATGTAAAAGTTTCAGACGTAGCACGAAATGTGTACACGTGTAACACGTGTGTCCTTGCAAAGAAAAGCGTCTGGACTTCTTTGAGTTGCTTGAAGACGTTTCACCTCTCATCCGAGAAGCTTCTTCAGTTCTAAGGTCAAATGGTGGAGAGTCCCAGATTTAAACCTAGTGGGAGTTTCCCCCCACAGAGGGACAAAAGGACCCCCTGATGATCCTCTAATCGCCTGAGCTAAGGTGTGAAACTGGGTGTGGGTCCCAATCAGCCAGAGTTTCAGGTGAGCTCATTGTGAAACCTGGCCCCACCCTGTCATGTGATTTCCTGAGATCAGATGGCCCAGGATGTGAGTGAGCGTTAAGGCGTCTGGGGAGGGATCTCAAAACTGGATTATAGATGGCAGAGAGTTGGTGTCGTAAACCAACCGATCTACATCGGAGAGACCAAACAGCCACTTCACAAGCGGAACACAGAAGAGCCACCTCCACAGGACAAGACTCAGCAGTCCATCTGCATCTAAAGGTCAAAGGTCACTCTTTCGAGGATGCCAATGTTCACATTTTGGACAGAGAGGACAGATGGTTTGAAAGAGGAGTGAAAGAAGCATCTATGTCCACTGTGAGCGACCATCTTTGAACAGAGGCGGGGTTTACGACACCAACTCTCTGCCATCTATAATCCAGTTTTGAGATCCCTCCCCAGACGCCTTAACGCCCACTCACATCCTGGGCCATCTGACCTCAGGAAATCACATGATAAGGTGGGGCCAGGTTTCACAATGACCTCACCTGAAACTCTGGCTGATTGTGACCCACACCCAGTTTCCCACCTTGGCTCAGGCGATTAGAGGATCATCAGGGGGTCCTTTTGTCCCTCTGTGGGGGGAAACTCCCACTAGGTTTATATCTGGGACTCTCCACCATTTGACCTTAGAACTGAAGAAGCTTCTCGGATGAGAGGTGAAACGTCTTCAAGCAACTCAAAGAAGTCCAGACGCTTTTGTTTGCAAGCTCCTTAGATTAATTAGAGGGCAAGCAGAAATAAAAAAATGTCAAGAATATGACAAGAAGGAAGACAAAACAGAGTGACAGCCATTTCTTCTCTTGGTGCAATGTTTCCACAGGAAGTGATGTAAAAACCAGATTAGCACAAAGCTGCAACAACATACAGACAGTCGACTTCAAACATTTGGACTTTATTGGCTAATAACAGCAAACACGAACAAAAAAGACCTCTTTCAACATTTTAGAGCAGCTGGGAGGGACAGAGCTTTTTTAGCCTGTTTGTTTTTAGCTGCAGAGGCCCAAAGAGGCGGTTGTTGTCGTACAGCTGTGATCTGCTTCCTTCAGGGGCAGAGCCAGCTGATCTGCACTGGCTGCCTCCTGGACAAAGGCGGCAGCTACATCAGCTCCTGGTAACTGATACAGCTGAAGAGGAGTTGCTGTTTGGGGCATGTGATTACAAATGTCAGCGCCGCGCTCCTAGCTTTGGGTTATACCCAAACTTTATTTCAGCTTGCCAATAAGCTCAGAGTAAAGCAGCTCGGAGATCCACAGCGTTTGATCCCAGCCCCCTCCCGGCCTTCACTCTTTCATTATTGATTTCTTTTTTCTACACTTACATGATCGTTGTGCCAGGATGCCCAAGCCCTGACCTTTGGACTCCTTTATCAGCAAAAGAAGCCAGTGTGCACCGTGTAATTGTAACAGAGTGACTGCTGTAATGAATGTCTTTTTGTCTTCAACACACACACACGCACACACACATTGCTGTCCTAAACAATAACCTGATTGGGTGATAAATTCATATTTGCTGAATGATGATGAAGGTTAAAGGTGAAATGCAAGTGAATGAAATTGAAATATTTGATGGGCGTCGACTTTGTTCAGATAAACTGAGCTCTGATCTGTTACCGTCACGTTTCATTTGCTGCACTTTGTTACATTTTGCAGACCATTTGGTATTTTGCACATGTTGAAATCCTCCCTCGCCTGCTGCCAAAGTCCATACCTACAGCACGACGTCATCGTTTCTAGAAAGCTCTAAACAGGCTCATTGTTCTTGAGCTGGTGATGCAACAGTAAAAGTGGCAACATATTCATCAAAAAACAAAGCTGAGTTAATCAAAATCGCCGTGGCTCGGTGATCTCTGCGTCAGCGAGCTTTAGATACGAACGTATATTCTGTGATATCTACGAGTCACTGTCCCCACAGTGAGGAAAATCAAACATTCAACAATGAAAAATAAAATATGAGTGCAGCTGAGTATCCGAGTTATCACTTCATCTACAAGCATCGTTCGATCGCTGGAACATTACGTCACCAGTTTTTAAAGCCGTT